GAGCGAAAAATACGGTATATTGATATAGGCTTGGGAAAGGAGACAAGGTTTATAATATATTTTGAAACATCTGACTGGAGTTTAAATCTTCTGCATTTGTTTTTAAGGTTTTGGACAGTGGGGCAGTAGGAAGGGTGCTCCATGCCTTTCAAAATATGGCAAAATTACCTACCAAGCTCCCCAAAAGGGATTTTTGACTTTTTTTTTGTTTAAAAATGAAGATATGGGTTGGCACTGGGGAACCCTAAGGATACCGGGATTTGCATGTTTCCCATCTCAGGTTTATATGCTCCAAAGTAATCAAAAGAAAGGTAAAGGAGTTCTATACTGTATATGGTTCAGTTGTAATATGTCTTTTGAATATGTCTCAGAACATAATGTATTTTTCTGTTTATAAGATGCCCCCCATTTATAAGAAGCCCCCCCACTTTTCAAACACAAAAATTAAGAAATCTGAGCTTTGAGTATTGAGCCCCTGGACTCAGAACGCTTGGACATTAGGAGTCCCTGTTGAATCTGAGCCTACAGGCTCCACCTCCAATGAGGAGTGTTCCAGTTGGTTTGTTCAGCATCAGCTGACGTCAGTTCCATAAGGCTCGTGATTGGACAAAGCTAAGTCTCCTGACTGTACAAAGCTAAGCGTTGTGACTGAAGGAAGCCTGTTTGTAGAGGCAATGTATGGGCATTTTGTTCTCTCTGTGTTCTCAGTTTTGTTGTTGTTTAGTTGTTAAATCTTGTCCGACTCTTCGTGACACCATGGACCAGAGCACACCATGCCCTCCTGTCTTCCACTGCCTCCCAGAGTTGGGTCAAATTCATGTTGGTCGCTTCGATGACACTGTCCATCCATCTCATCCTCTGTCATCCCCTTCTCCTCTTGGCTTCACACTTTCCCAACATCAAGGTCTTCTCCAGGGAGTTTTCTCTTCTCATAAGATGTCCAAAGTATTGGAGCCTCAGCTTCAGGATCTGTCCTTCCAGTGAGCACTCAGTTTACTTCGGTGTAAAAGGTGCCCCTCAATTTTTAGTGTAATGGTTTTAGGAAAAAGTAGTGTCTTATTCATGGACAAATATGGTATTTGTTCCCCAAAAGGTCTTCTGCCCCCACCCTCCAGTTCTAATGTCTGTGCCAGCTATCATAGTCTTTTCTTAATTTATGGCTCCTAATAATGTGAAGTCCATGGCTACTCATTCTGCAGAACATCATTGTCCACTATTTGCAGTTACAGTCAAAACGTAAATCCTTAAGATGGTTTGCCTGGAGGCAAAAGGGTGAAGCTGCCCTCATTCAGCAGTCGGGTGGGCAGAGCGAAAAATTAAAAGATGTAAATTATTTCAAGAAACCTGAATTTTTGGGGCAAAGGGGGTGTATTTTCACTACCTGCTTGAAAAGGATGCATTTCCCTAAGTGTTAAGCAAAAGGACCCTTATTAGGAGTGGGGGACATTCCAGGGCTATTTTCTATTCATGTTTATCCTTTACTTATTATAAATATATTGCACTTATTGCTATGGGGGTGGGAGGGATTTTCCAAGTTTTGAGAAACACCTACTCCTGCATTTGTTTTGTTTCCTCGGCCATCAGCCTTGTCCTGATTTTTAGATTAAATTAGGTAATTGACTAGTCTCTTCTAAGAAGTAATCTCAGTCAGTAATGGGGTTTTTGATAACAGAGCATAGGAGAATCAAATGAAAGTCACGGCTCTATAGTGCAAGCAGCCAAATTAACACTCTTGTCTGGCTGGGAACATCAAACGACTTTTGAATTTTCCTTTATTATTTTCAAGTCATGGAATGCAAAACATTGCATATAAAATATCATCATTTGTAATGATGTGTTTCAATGGCACACCCAACTACAGGAATGGAAATCCTTGTTTGTTTCATTTTTGTAGTCAGGCAAAGATAAAGAATTAGCCATTGCTTTCTCCTCATCTTTCAATAAGATAAAATATTTTATCATGCTGTTGATTCAGTGGTTTTATACACATTTCATTACTTCTGCAAGCTATGTAACTTGCACAAGTTTTGTAAAATTGTGGTAGCTGCTGCTTTGATTCATTCATTTTTAAAAATATCTAACCATATCTAAAATAGCTAAAACATCAGCTCCAAAGCTTTCTAAACCTGGGATTCTGCACCACAACACCAAGAAACCCTAGCAATTACATCAAATGATCAGAGCTTCTGGAAGTTCTATTCCAAGAATATATCTAAGGACCCAATTTTGGAAACTATTGGGTTCATCTTTCTGTGCTTGCACCATATGCGTGTGTGCGTTTGAGGATAAACTCTTCTTCTTAGAGAGAAAGGATGCTCTTCCCAGAGGCATTTTCCATAAACTGCAAAATGTCTTAGCAGGAAATAGGATTTCTTTTTCTCACTTTTGCATTGGATGCGAGCAAACCCGTGGGGATTTAAATTCCTCATCCAGGTCTCTCACTGTGTTGAGATAACCCTAACTGATGTAAGAGAGGAATTCAATGAGCATCCTTTCCATCTATATGGATTGATTACTAACCACCTTTTAATTTTTTTAATTGAAATATTCCAAAACTGGCTTTTTAAAAATTTGCCCATCACTGTATTGCCGTATGTATTTTGCTACTGCTGTCCATAAAATGTTGCAAAATAAAGTCAGCATCACAGATTACCTGTATCCGTTCCACTTCTAGAAAAGTAGCTGATTGGAAGGCTTTTTCCCATAGTAAGAGGTCGCATTCTAATTCCACAGAAAAGTAGAGATCCTCTCCTGTTTCAGACTGAACACCAAAGCAGTGTTTTCGCTGATCCAGTAGATCACTGTCCTGATGAAAACCTGGAGTTATATAATCTTGCATACATCAATTAATATTTCTTACAGTGCAGACTCACATGTCAGTTGCAGAACAGAGTTCTATATATAATTTTTATGTACCCTCCATTAACCTCATGCTGAGTATCTGAATGGCAGCAGATACAAAACCCATTCGTAATTTAAGTATGTGTAAGAGGAATTGCACAGCTTTTTCTTGCTTCTGGCGCACTTCCCTTCACACAAAGGGCCATGTAACCTATTTTCACAATCAGTGGGTGCCCACTCATGTAAAGGAGAATCTGCCAGAGGGAGGGAACCCATTCCACAGTTGTGCGAATCAACTGGATTCCAGCCACTGTTTTACATCTTTAACAGTTTTTCCTTTCTTTAATGGTTTGCTTACAAGGATCTACAGCTGCATTGTTTAATCTCTTAGTAATCTGGTATCCATTTATTGTGTCTATTTGCCTCACTGACACCACCATCACAAGTAGTGTTACACACTGATGTTATAAACTATTTCCCCTCATTGCCCATGACTACTGTGGAGAATTTCAAGAGGCCATTGACACACAGCTGTACTTTCAGTCCTATATATCAGTGAATATATATCTGTACAATGTGTTATCATGTCCTTGGGCTCTTGAATGAAAGCCCTTTAAGGTTTAATGGGACTTCTTGTGATAAACACAATTCTGTAGACCAGGAATAGATAGATTTTAGACTATAACAAGAGAAATAAACAGATCACTGTAAAATCAAATCATGTCCTCATTGAAACATTTTTAAAAAGCCAATTATATAGATAACTGACCACCAGTCACACAACATATATATTCAGGTAATTGTCCAATAATTCATCTTAGAGCTTGTTCAATAACCAATTGTAATTGATCCCTACAATCCATTGCACATGCTCTTATATCTAATTAACTGTCAGATTAGACAAGACAGATTCATAGGAAAGCTCTTCTGATGGGAGGTCATTAACAAATGAATTCCCAACCATAAGCTTGTGTTAGCTTGCCTGTCACAGAAATTCAATTATGCCTTCATAAGGATCTGAACATTGTGACTGAAGTAAGTCCAGATGCAGAGTCCAAAGCACCACTGTGTCCAGTTTTACTGAAATGGTTTCAGGTTCCGAGGATGTGGATAATATGTTTATAACAATTTGATTCATCACACCTTTTATGGCTTATCTGGGCTAGCTAAAAATATTGTATTGGGCAGGTTCAGGGAGCACTGAAAACAGCATTTCCTGAGAGGATGTGATGGTACAACAACAAAGTGCTCCCTAGACCTAGACATTTTAAATAACTACTGCCCCAAATACTCAATTTTGTGAGAAATTGCACAAGAAGTTGACAGCAATGGAAATACATTCAGTAAGCTTTCCTGGAGAATACTACTGGGGTGTGAGTCTGTTGCTCCTACTCAGTCTTGTAGTAGCTTTTTGATGGCAGTGCTTATTAAATCTTCTTGGACAAACTCTGAGGACCTGGGGGAGGTGGGGTTATGCTGTTTTATGATGGCTTTGCTCTTTACTACAGACAGGTTGCAGATAATAACCTGTAGCCTAGCTTTTGGGCAGTGTTCCTTCAAGATACCATATCATTCCTAGTGCTGTTTATTAGCTATATATAGCCACTGGGTGTCATCATTCGGGAATCTGAGGCAAGGAGTTATCAGTGTGCTGATACAGTTTGAAAGGGGTACTCCTGGATCCACTGCTTCACTGGAGGCCCAAGTGACTTCTGCGGCTAAGATAGTCTCCTAGCAGCTTGAATTAGGATGCTAGTTGCACCTATTTCTGGACAAGGTTATCCTGGCCACTGCAAGCCATACATTGGTAAACTTGAGACTGAATTGTCGGGTTAAGATACCTATAATATTTCAGTATGACCACACTCTGTGTAGGGTAGCCGGTAGAGGGTGGTTCAGGAACTTTAGCTAGTGCAGGATGCAACAGTGGGATTACTGACTGGGATGCCTTATGACACATTTGAAACCTGTGCTAAAGGACCTACAATGGATGCCATTTGTACTGGTAAACAAGGTAATGTAGAACTTAAGACCAGTTTATTTCAGAGAATGTTGACCTTCCCAGCCACCACAATCTTCAGAGGAGGCCCTGCTGCATGTGTTGCACCCTGTTGATTTCTATTTGGCAGCTACATGAAGATAGACTTTTCCTGTGGTGCTTGTCAAATGATCTCCTAATTTCTATATGGTACATTAGCCCCCAGTGCTAATGCAGTCTACTAAAAACTGATTTAAAAAATAAAAAAAATTGGCATCCATTCATCTACATAGTGTTTATTGTTTCCCTCACCTACGCACTCTTATGTATTATATTATTTTGGTTTTATAATAATTGCTTAAGTGGTGAATAAAAGCATAGAACAATGGTTAGGCCTCCAATAGAGCTTTACAGAGAATGAAAATAAAAGCTCTATGTAAAATAATGTGGGGAGCTGTTCCCTTGGAAATAAACTCTTTCAGGAAATCTATTGTCCTGAGCTTCAGTTCCATTGCTCATGCTACAATGAAGTTGCAAATTACTTCAGACCCATGCAAATGAAAAGTGGTATAGAAATATTTGCAATAAAATAAAAATGAAAAAAAAATGTAAATTTGATTTCAGTTCCTAAACATTTATCTGGAGACAGAACTCTGAAATGAACTTTTGCACCTGACACTTCAGTGAAAATAGCTATGCATATTTTTTTTCTGAAAATGAAAGAAAAAAAATGTAAATGAAATGACTATTGGTTATTTGGTCTGTCCCCAAAACAGCACAAACTTTCATTTCTTCTAACAAGGAAAATAGAACATTTGTAGACCTAATTAATATGGCTTTTATGTTAAGTGGGCGCAATACACCTGTCCTAATGAGATAGCGTTTTTCTTACAAGTCCTTTCAAACTAAAAAGCCCTCTACAAAGGTAAGCTTGGGGCATTAGTTCTCTTTGGATACAGCCGAAACATACAGTATAGTTGCTACATAGGCTCTGTTCTATTATATATGAATGCTAAGGTTTGTATTAGATAAGAACTGACCAAACCCATACTTTTCAAATCAACATGAGAATAAACATGCAGTTATTGTTTGCTTTCTCCACATCTCATAATTGCAAAACAGATCTCCAAACTTTATATACATACAAAAACCACATTATAAGGGTAAAATGCACTAAAATGTGTGCATTAGTGATAATGTGCAATGAAACACCATACAAAGGCAAACAGCTTTATACAGTGTGTATATTTTGCAAAACTGCACACAAAATATGTATACATTTTGTGTATACATACTAATATACATATTAAGGGTGTAAAATGCATTTCATTTGGTTCTTTTCCTCCAAGTTCCAAATTGATGCAAGCAGGGAGGCGAAACCAACTGTCAACTGGAAAAATGAAAAAAAAACCAAGGAACTAAAATAAACAAATGCATCAATTTCCTATTCATTTCCTGGGTGATTATTCCACCCATATTTAGCACTAATTTTAAATTTTGTAACAAAGCCAGAACCATGCTGACTTTTTGGGAATCACTTATCATCAAAGGCTATTTATGATACGGTAAACAAGCTAAAAAATAAATCCCAGTCTTGCTTTAAGGGAATTAAATTGTAGTCTGAGATGTCATAAACTTGTTGCCTCCCAACCCCAAATCCATCTTACCCATTCATATTTCCTTTAAAAAAAAAATATTTCTCTCATCCTTTTTGGCTTGATTTTTAAACTTAGCCTAGAGGCATAGAAAACACTGTCATTTAGGTCTCTTTTATGACTAGTTGGGGCATGAGAACCTTCATTTTATTCCATTAGGAAAATAAATTTTGGATGGAAGTAGCAGCAGAAGAGAAGAGGTCAGAAAGTGAAACACATGTAGCCAAGACATTACTCTTAGCTTTACTTATTTTATTTTATTTTTTTATTTTTTTATCACCTCCTTGGAACCTGTTGCAATGTGTCAAGAAGCTTAGACTGTTCCAGCCACAGTCCAGCTTATGAAGTCAAGAGAAATAGCTGAGAACTTCACTGCTCTAAGAAACTCACAGTGCACAATTAATACCGTCATTGTTTCTTTCAGACAACAGTAGATCTTCTGCAAACTGCAGCAAAAAAACATGCAGGTCTGTTGCAGATTATAATGCATTTCACTTTCCTGTTTCAACAAGACAAAGACATGCCTCCTCTTATTTTTTTTCATTCAACCGCATAATATTTTGTTTTCAGACAATCATTTTGATGAGAATCCCTCCTCACTGATCTTCATCTCCTGAGACTATAGGTTCAAAACTTGCTGATAGCCTAATTTTAAATGGATATATGGCAAATGCCAAACAAGAAACCTGCGTGTTTTGTTTAAGATTAAATGCAGATAGTGGGCTAAATGTAGGCTAAACAACCACCTGGAAAATGAACAGCTTTCAGCATCCTCTGACTTCTGTGGAAAGATCTGAAGTGGGGGAATACGGTGTACTTACATGGCATCCCTCATGGCAGCAGAGCAAAGCTGCCCATGTGAATACAGAGAGTTCCCTCTTCAGATAATCCTCAAGTATGTATGGAGGTCAGAGATGAAAAGACATAGGATGGCAGGGATGAAGCCAGTAGTACGGCAGTATGATTTGGAAGAACAGGTCTGTTCTTCTCCACATGGAGAACTAACAAGTCAGTAAAACTTTGTCAGATGCTTTTTAGAAAATTAAAAGATACAGCATCCTAAACATGTGCTTGTTGATTCCTATTACAGGATGTACAAAGGTGTGCCTGAAAAAGTGAATGATAATCTATGAAAGTTCACATTAAAATAAGCCAGTTAGTCTCAAGGGTTCCACAACATGTTTTGTTTTGCTATACATGCTGAAGCAGACTAACACAAACTGTTTATTAAACCCTGCTAATCTAAAGGGAATTTGTTCTGTTTGCTCTTCCTTATTCTATAGCATTGGAAACAGAGTATAAAGGTTTGTAGACGATTCTTCATGTTTACTCAACATAGCAGCCTGAATGCTAAATGGTAATGATTTTGCAATTCTCTTGGCAACAATGCCTTTTTCCCTACAGCATGGATGCTAGACAAGCTTCAGAAGAGAATGGTTATTGCTTCATGTCCTGTTTCCCCTGAACCAAGTGGTGTGAAATTTGCCGTTTTTAGAAGTCCCATTATTTTGTTTGGTTAAGCAGAGAGATATCAGCATTAGTAACTGTTGATTGTTGCTTAAATGACGATGGCCAAGGGGCATCATTGAGGATGAGTGGATGGAGGGAGAGAGAGAGAAGGAGTCTCTCTCTGTGTGTGTGTGTGTGTGTGTGTGTGTGTGTATGCATGCACATGCGTGTGTGCACATGTATGCTCATGAAGGGATAGCTGGAGATGAGAGGATGTGTTTCAGAAGGAAAATGAGGGATGCGAATGAAAAGGAGAAATTGGAAAGCTCATTCGGGCAGGGAAAGAAGATGCCAGAGACAGAAACAGGGGTGCACATTTAGGAGAAAAGGATGCTTATTCTTCTTCTACTGAATGGACATGATACAAAGAGACTGGACTAGCTCTAATCATGGCCTTGAGTCCAACTATTTGTGTAGTAAGAATTACTTATGCACAGAGCACATCCAGGCTCAGAGCCTTATCATGCCTAAATGACACTGGCTAGATGTTATTATGAGGCTGGATCCTTGGAGACAATACTAAATGAAGACTGAAAAGGACTTTGATCCTGAAAAATTGCTTCGTAGTTTAATGACAAAGTACCAGTTTAAACTTTATCGTAACTGGCAAAGATATCTAACACTTCAGCAGAAGTCAGTACTGTTCATTTGTTACCATAATGTTGTGATAAAGTTGAATTTATTTTTCCATCACCAGATGCCACAGTGTAGTAATGTTGGCAAATGATGACTTTTAATTCAGCTCCTGATGAATGACATTACACAAATAGCCATTTTGGTATCTATAACCCTAAAAATAATGTATTGTTTTAGGCACCTGCTGTTTTATAATGTACATACATAGATAGACACTCACTAGCCTTTTTAATGTCTACTTTAAAAAGAGCTTATTGTTATTCATTTATTGCTCAACATGCAGGTCTGTGTGTTCAGGCAATAGCAAAGTCTTGCAAATCCTAACTGATTATAATTATCCTAACATTTAAGAGCACAGATGACAAGGATAAATTTCAAATAGGAATAGCCACATTTTCACAGCTGATGCTATTAAAAACTCTTCTTCATGAACAGTATGTGATTTCTGAGAGTTGTGAACATGGTTAGGGGTTAAAATGGAAAGGGCTCTTTCTGGACTGATTGTACATTCTGACCAAGAGTTCTCATATTATTATTATTATTTATTGTATTTATACCCCACCTATCTAGTCATTTCAACCACTCTAGGCGAAATCTCATATGTTCAGGTTACAAATATGGAAACATGACATTCAGATTCTGGAATTCTTTGTTACCATGCCTTAAACCCACCCTATCATTTTAGGCCAACAACAGTATTATTAACATACCTTCCCATATTTTTAGGTAGCTTTTAAGTAGAAGTGAGTAAACAAGGGGCAAAAGCAACTATGGGCAAGCTTCAGTAGGCGAAATCTCATATGTTCAGATTACAAATATGGAAACATGACATTCAGATTCTGGAATTCTTTGTTACCATGCCTTAAACCCACCCTATCATTTTAGGCCAACAACAGTATTATTAACATACCTTCCCATATTTTTAGGTAGCTTTTAAGTAGAAGTGAGTAAACAAGGGGCAAAAGCAACTATGGGCAAGCTTCATCATATTAACTTGGAGATGGCAGCTGCCCTCAAGTGCTGTTGATCTCAGTTTCATCTGATAGGATTTTGTGGTACTTAGTGGGCAACAGTGGCTCCCTACTGTGTGCAGAGGCATCTTGGAACTACTATTTGCGCTGATGTTCCTGAGTTCTCTGAGGAAATAAAACAGATGTTCTGGGCTGCAATTTTGATTTCTCAGCATGTCTCAGAATGATGTCACTTTGGGGATGTGGTAGACATAGAAAAAAATTAAAATAGTGGATCCAAACAGTCCTGAGAGTCCAAATGGACTGTGAAGGATAGAGCTGATGGAAGCTGTAAGTCAAAACACATGGAGGGCCAAACGTTTTGCACCTTTGTTCTAAGTCCTTACTCTGCCAATGTTGAAAACAAATTTCACAAAACAAAGATCCTGCCCATATTACTGTTTACCTTGTTCAGTTTATATATACAGTGGTGCCTCGCTAGACGATTGCCTCATGGGACAAAAACCCCGCAAGACAATTGGTTTTTGCAATCACTATGGTGCCTTGCAAAGCTTTTTTTCTATGACCATGCTTCACAAGACTTTTTTTTTTAGACCGATGCTTTGCAAGACTTTTTTTTGAGACTGATGCTTTGGAAGACTTTTTTTTTTGAGACCGATGCATAGGGAACCTCACAAGACAATTTTTTTCACAAGACGACAATTTTCGCGGAACGAATTAAAATCGTCTTGCGAGGCACCACTGTACCTTTCTGGACTTATTGACATAGGCCATTATTTTGCACCAACTTTGTTTGGATTCCTTTGCAAGACATGCAAGACAAGATAAGAACTAGAGTTTTATTAGCAAATGCAACAGTACTGCAATACTGTTTTTCCTTCCCTTCTTTCAATGAAGTTATTTACTTTATTCTTCATACCTTGAGTATTTTGTACATGATCTCATATACAGAAAATGTTCTCTCAGCTCGTGTCCAGTCCCATGTAGTAACCTTGGATAAAAATAAACAAAACATAACTACCTCCAATAATATATTTTTGGAAAATAATGACAGCATTAATCACTTATAGACTATCATTGTGCAATTATAGCTGAAATGTCCTCATACCAAACATACAGGTCTACCTTGCTGCTGTAAAGTGTCATAAATGAAGAGGACGTTTATTCTTTCTATGTTGGCTTCATTTCCAAGCCCCTTCCCCCAGTGAGCATATAGAGTAGCATAAACAAAAAGACTGGTCATAGTCCCAAGGTTTGTAAGATCTACATTCTTGTCAGAAAAAAGAAGCTAACCATATTACACAGCCAACAAATCTTGAAGATTCTGGTAGGCAGGACTGAACCTGATTATGTCACTACCATCCAAGAGCAGCTGATAGCTAGACCAGTGCTGGAATGCACCCGTTCATTACCCCTTCTTCCCTTTTATCTCTCCCACCTCATGCTCAATCTGAACCCCTTCAGAATACAGAGGTGCCTTGACTTACGAATGTTCCAACCTACAAACATTTCAAGTTACGAACAGCTCCGTTTGCAAAATTTTGCTTTGACTTGCAAATGGAGCTTTGACTTATGAACGGGGAAAAAAAGCATGGGGAAGGCAGGAAATTTGAACTTTCAGTTAACCACTGGCCGGCGAAGAGGCTGTTTGTCTGCTACCTCATTCGCCCCAGCAGTTAGAGAGTGTGGATACGGAGAGCGACTTCAGACTGTCTACTGCCTGGTACTGTACTGTCCGGACTGTGGTTTTTTTTGGGGGGGGGCTTTTTTATTTTTGGATTTTTGACTTTCTTTTTAAAAACAGAGACTGTCTGTTCTGAGGTTTTGCAGCTTGGGGTTGGGCTAGGTGGCTGGGGGAGTTTATGTTTCTGTGCTGACTGTTGGTTTTAAAATCAGAAAACTGGTTGCAAAGGTGTGTCTGGCTGTTGGCCTCTAAAATGCATTTTAGTCTTTTGGTTTTAAAATCAGAAAACAGTTTGCAAAGGTCGGTCTGGCTGTTGGCCTCTAAAATGCATTTTAGTCTTTTGGTTTTAAAATCAGAAAACAGTTTGCAAAAGTCTGTCTGGCTGTTGGCCTCTAAAATGCATTTTAGTCTTTTGGTTTTAAAATCAGAAAACTGTTTGCAAAGGTCTGTTTGGCTGTTGGCCTTTAACATGGAGTTTAGACTCAAGTCTCTCCCCCCATTGTCTTCTCTCTCTCTGTCTTCTCTCTTTATGTGCTTAAAAGCACACACCTTTGTCTGAGGGGTTTGTGTGTCCCAGTGATGGCCTTCTTCCTTCCTTTCCTCTTTTCCCCATTGTTCCTTCCCTTCCTCTTTTCCTGCCCTTTTTTTAACCTAAGTTCATCTTAGGTTAAAAGACCCCCACTTCTCCCCCTAGTGGTAGAGGATGGATTAATCGGTTTTGCATTAGTTCCTATGCTTCAACTTACAAACCATGCCTCGACATAAGAACAAAAAACAGCTGGAATGGATTAATCGGGTTTCAATGCATTCCTATGGGAAATGCTGATTTGACTTACAAATGTTTTGATTTACGAATATCTTCTGGGATGCATTAAATTCGTAAGTCAAGGCACCACTGTAGTTTTCTTACTGTCCAGAGAGACTTTGCGTGAGAAAAGGAATCTCAAGAGACAGGAGGGCAGCAGCGGAAAATCACCTTCTGCTCTCACCCCTTCACTGATGTGTCTCTGGATCCAAGCTTGTGTGCGAGAACTAAGAAATTACCTCAGTGGCTCTACACAAGCCCATTTGTTTGGATATCAAGCAGAAACAAAAGAGCACATTAAACAAAAATTCAATTAAGAATATTTTTGCCAAAAGGAATTTGTCTCTTGCATTCCAATATTTCCACAGTTACAGAAGAGGTAGTTTGAAAGCCAACTGTATTTCAGCACAAACATAGAAGTTTTCCCCTCTCCGTATTTGTCACAAACACAGCTGAGTAAAGATAAAAATGTTTCAGTGTTTACCAAAAAATCCCAGCATTGGGCATGGACAAGACTTGTTTCCCTATCACTTCTTCCAATAGCAATTTGGTGTTAATAAGCCATTATTTCTCTCACTATTACTACCTTTTTTGTTGCAAATCTTCATGAGGTGTCTTGGGTTATCACAAAATATTTCTATCAAGGTCATTACAAACAGCTACACATTTTGTGGGCAAACAATGCATAGTAATAATACTTACCGGAGGGGATATAAATTTATAAAGTGAAGAACCACGCAGTGCTAGAAACTTTGGTGTATACATTCGGTCCTGAAGAGAATCTTGTTCCCGCTCTTCTGTCCAGCCCATGTAGACTATCTGGCAAACAACAATAACAACAACAACAACAATCAAGAGTTTGGACAAATTCAACCCCCCCCCCAAAAAAAACCCACATAGGATGTTCATTATGAAAACATATAAAATAAAATAGCTATGTTTATCAACATAGAGCAACCAGGCCCATATGGTACATATAGAGTACAACCAAAAATGTATTAATGTACAAAGCCACTTGTCAACATGCATGCCTCTCATGATTCATCCTGTGACTAATTCTCCCTTAATTAAACATTCTGATGTAATGAAACAAATACTGAGATAAGATGGAGAGAAACTGACTCTGTTTTTGCCAAAGGAAAATAAGTATAATTATTTACTTTGGATCATTTGATGAAAATTGTGGTGCAACACAGACACACAGGCTGGTTTTAAGCAACATTTTACTCATGCGTTTAACTGTAACCTTTATGCTGTTACATTTTAATGAGATTTATCATTTTTCCAAATGTCATTGTGATACAATCTGAGCTGTAATTCATGTAAGTTTATTTCTTTGCACACTATGTTAATGTTATTAGTAGTTTCAAGAATGTATATATGGAATGGCTGACAATTGTGGAATGATTGGCAGAGTGCATATTTTACTTTAATCTCTTGTTATCTTCTCTTACACAGACTCTTCAGCTGATATCGATTTGATGGCTATATCTGGCTTGTCCAGGGATAACAGAGTCTAATCTGAACCACACAAGAATACGTACAGGATCCTTGGAATGGTAAGAGTCATGACATATATGTTAACTCATTAGCTCATAACAGTGGTCAGGGCACACAGTAGGTATTACATATTATTATGTGCTGTCATATCAACTCTGACTTATGGTGACCCTTTTCAGGGTTTTCAGCGTGTTTACAGGGGACTGTAATGAGACTTTTGCTGAAAAAGAACTCCTTTAATTCCACTGCACTGGATAACTACTGGACAATTTCCAATATTCCCTTCTTGGGCAAGGTACTGGTGCATATGGTAGCTTAACTCCAGTGGTTCCTGTATGAGACTTTTGAGGTCCATTTCAACCTGGCTCTAGACCTGGTTATGGGACAGGGATGGCTTTGATCACCTTGGTGACCTACAGCAGGAATTAGGAGGACTTTGCACTGGAATGTTAGCTGCATCTGATTCTGGACAAGTCCATTCTGGTCACACTGATACATGTCTTGGTTCCATTCTATTTAGCTTACTGTAATGAACTCTACCTGGGGCTGCATTTGAAAAGTATTTGGCATCTTCAGTTGGTCCATAAATGTATGGTTATGGCCTAGTAGGCCCTATGGGATATGCCAAGTAGTTACAGCTCTCCCCTTGACAGGAGCCTTGCCAGATTTGGGAATCAGAGGTAATAAATGTTCAACACCTGTACCTCACTGCTTGAGGGGCTACCACCATTTGACCCTTGCAAGGGTGGATGTAGGACATTTAGATCTGATTGATTTCTAGAATATTTTGAAGCTGCTACCTATTGGCTGAAATCCTGTTGCTTAATTGTATATATGTGGGAGTCAAACATGCAGATACTTCAACCTGGCAATTAATGAATCATTGTAGGGATTCTTGGGGTCATGAACATCAATTGGCTTGGGACATGTTTGAGAATCCCATCAGGGACTCCATAACTGCCAGCTAGAAGTGACTCAATGTTATGCAGTTTGCTTTTTGCATGCATAATTAAGTCACATAATTCCAGCGACTACAGTTCTGTTCAACTTCTAGAACATGAGAATAACCTGGATCATGCAGAGCTTTTGTGATTCTGATGTACACTTCCCGCAAAGTTAACCATGTATGTGTGAATATTGGCAGCATTTAATTCATTAGTAGGAAATATTCATTCAACAGATATTCTGTCTGAAATACTTGATAATATTTCATCAAGTGTCCATCACTGCCACCATCAAACAAGAAAATACCATTTATTTTGTATAGATGAACAGATATTTCACACTGGACTTTGTCCTTTCAATGCTAAAGCAATCCAGAAATTTAAAGGCAATTGCTCGTTGAGATATTGTTCCCTTGTCTCTCCACATAATGAGAAAGGATTAGATTGATTTTACAGGCAGCCCTTTTTTTCAAAAGAAAGATTAATTAACATAAAAAGGACATTTCTGATTCATTCTGTGTAAGAGCTGTCAAATTGTAAATGCAAAAGATTAAAAGACATCACAAAGAATATCCAAGACTGTATCTTGCTGCACAGCAAGATAGGCAATTCATTGTGGTAAAGACTGATTCCTGCTGCACAAGGAAACTTAAGGACAATCCAATTATGGAATCTTAAGGACAATCCTTGTTTCAATAATTGGTTTATCCATGTCCTAAAACCTCTGCAAAGAAATCTACTTTACAAATAAACAGTAGTGTAATGAAGAGCTCACAGAAAGCCAAGTGCTGATTATTATTTTTTTAAAAAAAGTTTTGGTCCACAAGTCATGCTGTACAATGGAAAGTGAAGCAAGGACAGGGAAGCAACTGCTACTCCTTATCCCTAACAGTAACACTGTCCATGGTCCTGATCAAAACAGTCATTCTTCTACATTTCTCTCATATGTACAGTATTTGCTTGCAATCTTTGTTCCTTCTCACACTCACTCAGAACAATCTGAAAAGTGTATTTCTTCCATAAAAATCTATTTTTCTTGCTTCTCCCTAGTGTTAATTCCCTTCACAGAAACATTCCATCTCTCTCTCACTTTTCCTCCAAATTTCAAGTAAAAACCATCTCTCGCTGTTTTTTATTTGATTAATGGATATTTGTTCTCAATACAATGCATTATATTGGATTTTATGTTGAGCACTTGATCAAACTATTCTTAAATTGTTTCAAATATTATTGCAAACCATCCTGGAAATATGATTTAAAATATTCCATCACTGGCTCAAGGACGTTTTGTACTGGTGCTTAATTGTGATGTTCTTCATGTTACAGCATACAATTATGTGCTATAATGATCAGTTGCTATATCTGACTAGTACGTTAGAGTGTTTCTTTGAAAAGTGTCCTACTAATTCTTGGTGAGACATTTACTTGAAGTATCTGTACAAGCTTGTGAGTTTGCTTGTTGACTGTTACTCTTCTTGCAGACCTTTGCCAGTTGGTTATCAAACTGGGGTGCTTATTGCAAATAGATCATCATGTCATTTGGTTATTAAGAAGTTAGCAATAAAGTCTCTCAACTATTAACCAAAATTGGGGTGGGGGGAGAGAGAAGAAGAACAAAGCAACAAAGAAGACTGTTTTAGATAGTAAAAGATACTTATCTACTCAATCTTTTTGCAGATGTTTTACTTTTACTAATGAACCCTCAAGAAGGGATTGGTTCCTTAAATTCATTCTCTCAAAGGTCCAGGAGTATTTGGACTGAAATGTAAGTATAGTACATTAAAGCTGATGTGTCTCAAAATTCCCTTCAGAAATTTAAATTTGTATAGAAAACTTTTAGGCTTAATTTGAGCAATTCCTCATTCAAATTCCTACCTATCTATAACCTCAAGGAATGAGCTCAGATGTACCAAGAAACCACCTACTAGGAATTAAGTAAATTAAAAACCAAAAACCATGTTAAACAGATACACTAAGAAATAGCAACAAGGGAGAAATTAGAAATAGGAGAAATGAGAACATGCTTTGAAAGGGAAAATAGGCACATGGCCAGGCATAATTAGACATGGGAGGAATTAGAGCACACTTTGTAAGGCACAACATCCTTATTGAATCAACTCTTTCCTCCCTTCCCCCCAGATAATTGCAGTAACTCCACAGGCACCTACATCTGTCAAAAATGCTAAAATCTTTTGTTCATCAAAGTGAAAGATGCAGATTCTTGATGGCATCCTCAAGTGTCCATATGAATATTGTAATTAAGGTAATGGAAGACTCCAGTCCCCATCTTTAACCATTACCACATGATATTTCAACTGAAGCAGTTGTTCAATCCCACCAGGAATGAAAGTGACCTGTGAGAATCTGAAGCTACCACGAACTCTTCAAGAGAGCTCCATTGCTAAGCCAATCTAGGCAACCAAGAGAAGGGAATGAAATTCCCTTTTATAGGGTTATTCTATGTCTCCACTACTTTGAATTTAAGCCCTTTGCCTATTTATAAACCTAAATTAATATGCCCAGAGAAAAGGTTGGAGGAAAAGGAGCATATTAGATCACTCAATATTGGTAAAACACTTGAGCAGGGAGTCTTGACTAAAAACACATGGTACAATAGACGGGATTTAATGACTTAGTTTATTTGACCACTTGTACACAATACCTCTCTCACTGCTTTAACTAAAGAAATGGATGGAAATTCTAGTGGCTTAATAATGGCAAGGGAAGCATATTGGAATATTTGTTGGGAAATCTAGCCCCATTGAAGAGGTCCAGTGGGAATGGCTCAGGACCAAGTGACCTCACAATTAATATGTGATGAAATCTCACAGCTACTCAGATTTCAGTTGAGATTGGTTATCTCAGCAAGAAAGCTACTACAGTGGGGTCTCTACTTAAAAACTTAATCCGTATTGGAAGGTGGTTCTCAAGTTGAAAAGTTCTTATGTTGAATCTGCATTTCCCATAGGAATGCATTGAAAACCATTTAATCCGTATCTGCTCTTTTCTGTCCATAGAAACTACAGTGGAACCTCTACTTAAGAACTTGAAACGTTCTTAAGTTGAAGGAAAATTTCCCGTAGGAATGGACTGAAAACCAATTAATCCGTTCTGGCTGTTTTTTTGTTATGTAGAGGTGCGTTCGTACATTGAAGCATTAGTTCCCATAGGAACTAATGCAAAGCTGGTTAATACTTACTCTACCACTAGGGGGAGAATTTTTTTTTAACCTAAGATGACCTAAGGTTAAAAAAAAGAGCAGGAAAGGTTTATTTCCTGTTCTTATCTTGGATTTCTGTTCTCAAATAGAAGCAAAATTTAGCAAATGGAGCTGTTCTTAAGCTGGATTGTTCTTAAGTAGGGACGTTCTTAAGT